GCACACGCACACGCACAGACTCACACACACACTCACACACACAGACTCACACACACACTCACACACACAGACTCACACACACACACACACAGACACACACACACAGACACATGCACATGCACACACCTCTTTTCACCTATTCTGCTATAAGAGCAATATCTACGTATTTCAGAAACTTTGGAAAATACAAAAGAAAAAAATCACCTCTATTTTTATCATCCATTGGAAATTTTCTTTTTATATTTACATACATATCCTAATACAATGTCTGACGTTGCAGCGTTGCGTTGCAGTATTCTCAGGAAACTGGCCTGGTGAGCTAGCCCACCCCTAGTTCACACACCACCATGTGCTGCTGACTACGAGCTCCAGCCTTGGAGTCTGAACAAAGATGGCGGAAAAGCTTATGAGGCTAGCCAAGGTTCTCAGTCCAGTCTACACAAGAAGTTCCTGGGTGATTTCATGTTTCCAATGGTGTAACTCCAGTCCAACGGTGATTCCAGGCTGCCCCCAGAAAAGACAAGAACTGCCCCACAGGGCACAGGGACCTCCAAGGAGTGGATGAGGACAAATGCTTTAACTAGTTAAGCCCATGGGAAAATCAGCCCTCTTCCTGCCCTACTCTGAGGAAAGCACAGATGCTCTTCTGAGAGAGAGGTTTAATCTGCAGTACTGAGGGCTGTGTGGAGAAAATTGAACTATTCTGTGGTTAGGGACTCGTGTCTATGAAATGCACACTGTTGACAATCGTTTTCTTGTGACCTGTAGAAATAAACTTGCACAAAGCAGTGGCTGCCTTTGCTGCCTGAGTGCAAGGCTGGAAGCCAGCCGCTCCGATGAGGCCTCCTCTGCTAGCTTACGCTGCAGCTCTCACAGACTCTCTTCTCAGTCTCCTTCCCAGGAGAGCTGTAAGCTCTGATAGGGTAGCTTGGCTTTGGGATGATAGAGTTTGGGGGCTCAGTTTCTCCCTGTCTGAGTTTCTTGAAGCTGTTTCCAGAGGGTGTATGTGTTTGCATTAATGCAAGATCTTCACAAATGAAGTCCATGACAGCATTTTGAGGGTGACTTTGGCCATGGCTTAAGTTCCGATGCTGCTAAGGTTGCGCTCATCAGTGTTCAGCTTTCTGGGGCCCTTCTGAGAATTGTGTTCTATCATCTTGGGGAGTGTTGACATAAACAGAACGCTTCTGTAACCCCAGGCTTTGAGCACTTCCTCTGAGGAAGGGGAAAGTGTTCGGTTTCAGAGGCCTCTGCTCTGAGTGGAGACTTCAGATTCTCCTTTCTCAGGGAGTGCTTGAAGAAACGGCTGGGTGTGAGCAGGGATAGCATGCATCTCGAGCCAGCACTTGCCTGTTTGGGGTGATGGAAAATGTGCTTGAGGTTTCGGGTTGGGGAGCAGTGTCTCAGTTCCCATCATAACCACACGTGTTATCAGCAGGGCAGCTGCACAGGAACAGACTCGACTTTCCTGTGTCTGGGGATTTCCTCTGTGATGTTTTGGCTGAGAGCCTTAAACAAAGAAGAAATGCCAGCTCCTTTGTGCTTGGTCATGTTGCCCCTTGAATCCTTTGAGAAGCCATAGCTCTGGGCCTGTGTTCATTTGTCTTTTGTCCATTTAGGAAATTGCCCTAAAATGGAATCAGAACAAAGAGATGTTCTTTCTTTCATTTCTGATTTTGCAGATTCACTGTCAAATTTCATCAGTTTGAAATGT